GGGGGGGGGGGGGGGGTCTGCAATTTGAAAGTGTGGCATAGACACTGCAGCACAAGGGGGTATGTTTAATTTTCAGAAGAGTCTGGGGTAAAGTAAATGCATACTATGATGTTGAGAATGATCTCCAGATTCTGTAAGTCTGCTGCTTTTTTGTTTCCAACAGGAATCCCCTCCATTACTGCATACAACAAGAATGGGCTGAAGATTGACTTCACCTTTGAGAGGTCGAACACCAACCCTAGTGTCACTGTAATCACGATACAGGCCTCCAACAGCACAGAGCTGGACATGACAGATTTTGTTTTCCAAGCTGCAGTACCAAAGGTAGAGCCACTTTGGGTAATTACAGTGAGAAGCTGAGGGCCAGTTGCAAACACTTCCTGATTGGTGCTTTCATGCAGATAGAAACTTGCAAGGTGAACAAGGCTGATAACTGTTCCAAGTTTCTCTTAGTGCCCATTTAGGTCATCTCTTTCCAGTCTGAAATTACATGTTGTAAATGCAACAGAACACAGATTCCAATCAAATTGGACCACTTCTGCTTGAACAAAATCGTGTTTTGAAATCACCACTTTCTAGAAAAACGGCTAAACCTTAGGCAAAAAAAACAGTTTGGGTCAAAACCAGTATTTTGTAGGCACTAATCATGTCCTTTATTCTTCATTTACAAGAAATATACTGTGTTCTTTGGAGTTATGAGTACTTGAAAGAAAAAATCTTTTGAAGCAATTAGTTGCTTATAAAAATATAAGTGAGTCACAATATCGTGATTAATGGCAGTCCTCATTTAAAGAAGTGAATTGTTTCCCCTTGCACACAGCTTTAGCACAAAATGTGAGAGACAGATATTGCCTAGTTTATAGCAGAGGAGACTGTTGAAGCAGCATGTGACTGGACTGCTCTCCAAATTTGGGAAAGTACATTTACTTCTAGGAACTAGCATTCCTCTAACTTGGATTCAGTTAGGAATAGGAAGGAATCAGGGAAAGAGCAAGCCTCCTGAAGGGGTATGGGTGTGCCGACTGTTCCTCTGAGTGCAACACATGGAACCAAATGTTGCTGCTGATCTTGGTACACTGCAGTAAACCCTCACCTCCTATTATTTGTGTTACCTGGATCCTACGTGCATAGAAAGTAGGTGGGCCAGTGAATGTGTTGTTCTTGTGGAACAAGATGGGGAGTTCAAGAACTGATTATTCAGGGCCAGAAACCGAACTTTTAATTTTCCTTGCTTTCTTTCCGTCACTTCTTGCAAACCAGTCACTTCTTACTTGATTACGCATCAAATTGTTTTCTTTTTGCCCTGTCTTCAGACATTCCAGCTGCAGCTTCTGTCTCCCAGCAGCAGTGTCATCCCTGCATTTAACTCTGGGACCATCACACAGGTCATTAAAGTCCTGAATCCACAGAAGGTGAGTGATTCCAAGAAGAATTGTTGAAGATACTGTCTTGTAATCATTCATTTAGTGGCAGCCAGGGATGCATCTCTGATGAGAGGTAGGGAGTGATGGGAGTGAATGATATGTCTTTCATGGCAGTCATTTTGGTTAGAGTTAGGAAGAAGCTATGAAAAACACAGGAGGTTCTGGACACAGGTTTGGTCTTCTATTTGGTTACACTGCTAAAACAGTTTAACAGCTTTGCTGCCTTGAATTTATTCACGTCTTGCATCACAGTGCTTGTTAAGTTCTCAAATGGTCAGAGGAGCTAAACCTTGTGTTTCTGTGGGTTGTAAAAGTGACGTTCGGAAGGCAAGCATCTTGACACATAAAGATACTCAACATTTGTTCTTGCTGTCTGCAGTGGTGTTATTAAAATATTTTTACACAAAAAAGTAGCTTGATCCATGTTCTTAAAATTGCCTGTCAAGTGGTCTCATTTGTTTTTAATGTGATGAGTATAATTTTAAATAGTTGATGGAAAGAATCTTTAGGTGTAATGTAATGGTAATTCATTTGTTTTACAGTCTTCAGAGAAAGGCTTCAAGACTGGGACACAACAGACTTAAGGGAGAGGGAGGGAGGGATTTGACCCACATTTGTTCCTTAAGAGGGTTTGCAAGTTCTCAGATGACATCAGAGAGAAAAATAAAATTGAGATCACCTTTCTTCCTTTGAGACGGCCTTATGATCTTAAATGACTCTAGGAACTTAAAACATCTGAAGCTTTTCATAGGTTATGTACTGCTCTAGATGTAAAGTATTTCTGCTAGATTGACGTACAAGTGACAAAAAAATTCACAAATTTCAGCCCAAGTTTCACTGAATGGCACTCTTCTAGTGCACAGATTTTGTGGTTTCCATTCATCTCCCTTTATTTCCATGTAGTCTGCTCATCTCTGCCTATATTAAGCCACAAGACTAATTACTCTGTGTCTTCTATACGTCTGATACCAGTTTCTCTGTGGTGCTGTAGAGCACCTTTCAAAGATCACCTTGAAAGTTATTTTCTGAACTTTGGAGAATTTGAGTGTTTTCCCGTAATGTGCCAGAATGCGACCCACAAGATGAAACACACCTAGAGTAGTGGCATGCTTTCTTGTAGGAATGCCACAACTCCTAGGAACACTTCAGAGTACAGAGGTGCAAAATAGTCATCATGCTGGATTTAAACTAATGGCTAGTTTTTCAAAATGCCAAATAAAATAAAACATGACAGTGATGATGTTGAACTATTAGTGATACAGCATAACTTCATTATCCTGAGCCTGGTTGAAGTAGTCATTGTCTTCCTTTCTTCCCTCTGCTATCCCTTTTGTGTATTTGCTTGTAGGTATGGAGAAAAGAGACAGAAATAGTCAGCCTCTGGCTTTTCATTTTTGGATTTTTTGAGAGGAGAATAGGGAACCTGACTGGAGCATGCTGTACTCTAACTGTTTTTAAGGGCCACCTAGTATCTGGGTGACAGCCAAATGACAGTGTAAAGTGACTTTTGAGCTATTTCGTCATTTACTTGCAGCAGAAGGGAATGTTCTTGGAGATTCTGTTTCCAGTCTTTCATAGGCGATTTCCTTCACAGTGCTGCTGAGCTGTGCAGTGTTTGAAGTTTTGCAGACTGCTGCATTGAATGGACAGCCCATCTCTCCCTGCAAGCCCAAGTGCAGTGCAGCAGAGATCTGCCACCTGCTTTCTTCTTTTGTTAACTGGAATTTGAAGGCGGTTAATTTTGTGATGAAGGACTTCAGTGCTTGCAAGAGCAGGGCCAGTGTAGACACAGACGTAACTTTTTTAAGAGCTTGTACCTGATCTGAGAACTGCAGTGACTAATCAATGTCCTACCAGACTGAGCATTTATCTGCAGTGTCATAGCTCACCGTGCACATAATCCCAGCAAGCTTTTGCAGTCAGGAAAAGTTTGTGTTGAGTATTCATGGGCTGGGGGAGGGGAACTGGATGAGGTGGAAGTCTCTGACCTTTAATGAAGACCTGAATTTGTTTTGTTTGTGTTTGTTTGTTTCCCCCTTTTCTCTTATAGCAACAACTGCGTATGCGGATCAAGTTGACATATAATCACAAGGGCTCAGCAATGCAGGATCTAGCAGAAGTCAACAACTTCCCCCCTCAGTCTTGGCAATGAGGCTCTGGCACCATTCTTATTCTCATCCCACCCAATCAAAAGAACTCTGGGAAGAAGGTTATGATCCTTGGCAATCCCCCAAACTGCACCATGGGCATGGGGAACAAATGAGACCTGCTGATGAGGAGGAATTTTCCTGAAGTGATTGCTGACTTTGAAGCATATCTGTTAAGACTAATCTCCTCTCCTCTGCTGATGAGGCTGGTGGCTTGTGGAGGCTACTGTGCACTCCCTCACACATGCATTTACAGCCAGAAGCAACATTCCCTTCTCCCCTTCCCCACCCTTCTTCCCCCTCAAAAAGGAACACAGCCTGGTTGGAAGAGAAGTCTGGAATTTCTAGCAGGGAAACTTTCTTCTCTCTGCAGCAAGTGAGCAGTTGCTCCTTCTTTCTGCTGTCTTTTTTTCCCCTGGGGTGGGTAAGGTGTGTTGTCATTCATTTCTAGCTGGATTCCTTCAGCCATTTTCCATCTGGAACTCAGATGGGGTCTTGGGGAATGTCAGGCTGCCCTGCCTCTTTCTTCTTGTATCCCCTAGGTCTTAAGGGGCTGGAGGCTTCTTATGACCTACTCAGTGCATTATTGTATACACCCACTTCTTAGTTATGTGCTGCATACCAAGAGCAAGTGAGGCCTTTGGAGTTCATCTGCAAACCTGGGACACAGTGCAGGAGAAGAGGTGCTGGTAAGAGTTGGTAAAATTGCTTTGGTGCTGTACTTGGAAATTAAGCCCTTACACCTGAATTTTCTTTCCTTCCATCAGTAGCCACAGCCATGCAAATGCAGAGTCTTCTGTAGCTTTCCAAGAAAGTGAAGTGAGTTATGAGAGCTGTAGAGATAAAAGGAGCAGCTGGTTTTCTACCACATAGTTTCAAAGTCTTTCAACGTGTTAGTTGTGGTTTATGGGTAGAAAAGACACATTCAATTTTCTAGATCAGTTTTTGGGCAAGAGCTTTGCTCCTGCTGGGAGATTCACCAGAGACTATGCTGCAAAGTTGCTCTTCCTGGTTATTCCAGAACTTCTCCCCAATTTTATTTCCAGAGCCTGTTGTAGACCCCCTGGGTTCCATTTGAGTTACTTCTGACTGGGATATTTGTGTTGTATCTGTAATATTGGCACTGAAATAAAGACCATGCAGTTTAAAGAGACCTTTTCCCATTTTTTTACTTAGTTGATCCTTGCTCCCTTTTCAGAATAATGTGCCAGTTCAGGTTCAGACCGAAAGTAACTAAATTGTGTTTTGAACAGAAGCCAGTGATTTGAGTATTTGGATCCAAAGATGCAAGGTCTGGTTGGCAGCCTCTGAGCTCATAGAAAGCTGTGTTCAGGGGTGTCCCTGTGGGAATTTGTGGGTGGTGGTGCAGTTCTGGGCAGTCTCTTGGAGATTATGTTTAAGACAGACAAAAGCACAGTGTGACAAACTTCAGATGTTCAGTGCTCTTTAGGACATGATATATATTAGATCTTCATTTGTGAGTGTACTAGTAAGCTGAAGGTTGGGCACTTCTGCTTCAGTTTTGTTCCAGGGCTTTCCAGATCACTGAGTGCTCTAAGGGCAAGCTTAGACTTAGCTTCTTGTGTCCACAGAAGTGCTAACACTGGGCTCCAGAACTCTTGCAAAAAATATTGCAAGAGTGATTGACAGTGTACTTAGGGAAAACTGAAGACCTGTTCTTGAATTTGGAGCAGGAGGCCCGTAAGGGTTGTTCAGTCTGGTCTGGTTGTAACTGCATTAAGCAATATAATGTAGGCTTGACTGTCACTGATTTAAGTGCTGGTCCACAGGTAGTGGAGTAACTTTATCTTCTCTTGAAGGGTATTTTTTCTACTTTACCAAATGAGCTGGTTTGGCCTTTGGATTAGCAAAGAACTTTTTTCTCCTGGAACTGGCATCAGTGTAGGGTTACAAAATCTAGAAGAACAATGTATGATTTCCTTAAAATTAACTTTGGGTGGTGGTAGGGTCATGCCTTGGCTATCAGTGGTGAGATATATCCTGTGCTTAGCTAGAAGCATTGTGAAACAAGCATTTTGCAGGAAATGGCTGAATCAGGGTCCATTTCTGGTGCTGAGCATTTAGCTTAATCATTTTCACTGCAGTTGTGGCTATTCATTGCCCCACTAGCTCAAAATCAATACTGAAGACTGAGCATGTTAAATCCATATCCCAGTGAGCTCTGAGGTAAAAAGCTAATGGAAAGTCTTTGCCTTGGTTCCTGAACTCCTCATAAGCTCTCCCATTCTCTTCACAGAGTTGTACATGGTCACTCGTACTGAAAGCCAGCATGCCTCGCTCTCCCTTTGGTTTTGCTGGGAAAGAGCACTGGTACAGGAAATTAGATGGGAAGGAAGAAGAAAATGGTCTCTCGCCTGGCCAGTTTGTTGCAGCAGTCATGGGAACAGTGTATGTTGTCCCTCTTGTCATGCTTGTTTTCTGTCCCCTAGAGCAGCTGGGGCTTGTTGTCTGTCTCTGGTAAGCTTGCAGGGTGAATTCTTCCTGTGTTCTTGGCTCCTTCAGCCACCCTTGTACTGTCTGTGGGGAAATGGGCATTTCGTCATGTCTTTGAGTCGAGCTGGAGGAGGCGATGCGTGTACCCAAAATATGTTTTGCAGGAAGCCATACCTTGGCTATGAAGTACTCTTTTGTAGCAGCCAAACATTCCAGTTGCAGTTGTCCTTGGAGCTCTCCCCTCCTCACTAAGGGATGGATGCTGACATTTACACAAGAAGGAAGGCCAGGCTTCACACCTTCCCCTATCTGCAATACCAGATAATGCTGCTTGTTCCTTGACCCCCATGTGCATTTCGAGCTCTGTGCTGCTGATGTGGTTTTCCTCTGGAGAGTAGTCACACATCTGAGGCACTCCAAGCATACACCGAGTCCTCTTCCCACTGGTTGAATGCACCAATTCTTACAGGTCTGGTCAACATTTTCCTTGCTTCAGTGTAAGGAGGATATAAAGGCAGCAAGATACAGACTTCATGGCTAATCTTACTAGTATCTGCTTGGGAGGCTTCGGAACTGGGAGACACTGGATGTCTGTTTTTCCAAGTGAATGTATTTTGAGTCAAAAAATGACAGAAACAGGCCATAATGGGCCTGAAGAGGGAGGAGACATGGAAAGGTCCTAAAAGTCGACTGTCCAGGTCTTGATGGCACAAAATATGGCCTTGAACAACTTATTGAAGCAATAGCAGTGAGGGGACTGTCTTTACAGTACCTTGGATCTATAACTCAGAAGATACTGAAGCAGCTGGGAAAGGTACCAGTGCCTTCCCTAAGGCTGGTACTAGCTGTGAGCCGCGGCAGCAGTGACGCTGGTGCACTTTTTTGTCTTCATTTTCTATTTGGAGGCTGTGAGGGAAGGAGCTGCTGGACTGCTTCCCTTTTAACTTTCACTCTATTCCTGTATATTCCTTTTTCTTTCATGATGTTGTAATTTAAATTTTACACAGAGCCCATCCTACCTCTTTGACAGTATAGAGAAAAAAAAAAAAAAAAGCAAACAAAAAACTACTTAAATACAAACCCCCAACAAATCCACCAAATTTAAAGTGAAAAACATGCCATTTGAGGCAGGGTACCCGTTGGCAGTCAAAATTCTGGAGACCTATTTTTGAGATGTGAAAAATTTTAGTAAATGCTGAGTCATAGGTGAGTGAGGAGCTTAACAGATGTAAACATTTACATGGGATGCATTAGACTTCTGCTGTGTGTATTGTCTTTTGGTTGAAACAAATAATGAAGTGACTAATAAAATGAGTCAATATTCAATGATTTAAAACTGTGCCTTGTTGCTTTCTGCAAGTACAGTGGGATAGAATGTTTTGATTCTTAATGTTTGACCATGGCAACGTCAGATGATGCAAAATAATAAGGCCGTATTTTGAAAAAAATTTACAAGAAATTTTGAGACCAAGATGAGTGGACAATTGCAAAACACTTGAGCAGTTCTGTGGAATACCATCCTGAGAGAGAGCCTGTCAAGTTACAAGCAGCAATGCTTGTTCAGATGCTAGAAAGGCGTGGTGGGATCTAAACACAAGGAATGTGTTTGGAGCCTGCTCTGGGAGCTCGTTAAAACACCCCTTTCATGTACTCCATATGCCTTCTGGACAAGGATTGTCCCACATGTGCCTGCTTTGTGTTTTCTAGTCACAGTCGCATTTCACTAGATGGCCTTTCATATCTTTTCGGACGTGTAGTTTCACTGTGGGGAAGGTGGGAGTGTGCTTGAAGCTCTTGGGGCAGAAGCAGTGGCTTCCCAAAACCACTAACATTCTTGCAGTGTCACGATGGTGTCGCTGGTAGATGATGACGTCACTAGTAGTTAATGACATTATTAGTAGTAGGCACTAGTTAAGTTTTAAGCGATGGAGCTGCAGGGCAGCGGGAGAATGGTGACGTTCGGCTGTTGAGCAGTGCACCTCCAGCTGCGGGGCGCTGATGGTGACAGACCCTGGAGCTCTGAGAAGGGCGAGCGGTGACAGGTGCGTTCGCAGAGTTGACGTGAGCTTTGCCTTTTCCCCGGCTGGCCTCTCGCGGGTGGAAGGCCGCGGACGCAGACGCGGAGCTCCGGGCGGCCGGCCCGGCGGGAGCAGCGGCACCGGCCGGGGCGGGGCCTGGGCCGGACAGCCCCGCTCGCTTCCGGGGCGGGGCCGCGGAGGCCCGAGGTGTGGGTCCGGCCGGCGATGGGGGAGGCCGGGCCGGGGCCGGGCGCTGGGCCGGGGCCCAGGGAGGCGCAGGAGCCCGAAGAGGACTCGGCAGCGCCGGGCGGCGCACGAGGGGGCCGGGCCGGACCCCGCGGCGGCATCCGGGTGCTGAAGGTGAGGAGGGGACCGAGGCCTCCGCCGCTCCGGGCGACTCGGTGGGGTGGAGGAGGGAGGAGGGAGTCGGCTCCGGGACGCCGGGGGCACTTGTCCGCCCCGACCTCGGTCTTTCCCATGCCGGTGGTCGCTGCCTGTGCGGAGCGGGCCGGTGCGGGCCCGGGGCGGTGCTGACGCTCGGGTCTGGGCTGCCTTGCAGAGGAACGCGAAGCGCACCGGGGGCAGGAGCTGCCAGGGCAGGAGTCGGGTTGGTTCCCGTGAGAGGACCTGGCTGAAAGGGGACGTCGGACGAGGCTGCGTGTATGTTTATGGAAGAGACTCAGCAGCTGCGGCTCCTACGGACTTACGCCTGGTCCTCTGCACAGTGGACACCCAAGCCTCGGAGATCTGTGACGGAGAAGGGAGGGAAAACCTCTATTTGCAGCTTCATGGAGACCTGGTCAGGTGAGGGCCGAGAAAGGGTAAATCTCACTGAGAAATGTTCTGTATAGGGTTGCGGGGCTCTGTTCATCGTGTGCCTATGCCTGTTGTCCGGGCGGGTAGGGAACAGGCAGAGGTAATAGCTGGCAGTCAGGTACAGCCTTGAGTCACGCACTTCATAAAAATTAGATAGTGGTGAAATAAAGGTTACACACCTCTGTTAGTTATGTGTTTTAACAGGGAGGGTTTGATTGTTGCTCCAGCCAGAAACTTGTCCTCATTTTCTGGGTAGAGGCACCAGTTCATATATTCCTTTGTTGTGTTGTTACGGGGATTTTAGCATCTGCATAACCTAATCTATTTAAGAGACTGTAAACAATTATTTTGAATTAGCAAAATAAGGTGCTTTTGCAATTTATGTAATATAATATTTACATGTTAGTAATTTTTTTTGCCGAGAAGAGTTGCCAGCTGAAAAATTAAAGGCAGACAGAAAGTGTACCAAGGGTTATATGAAGAAGGCTTAAGCATCAGATGCTGTATTTTATGCCTGAAGTCAATTTCGGCTGAAAAAAAATGGCTCAGGGTTTAATGTGCATGAACTTTATGCTGTGTATTATGGACTCCTCTAGGTTTAGAAGCTCCTATTCAGTCTGTTAGGATTTAAACTTTGCACCGATTCTTCTGGACTTAAGATTCAGTTATAAAATTGCCACTTCTGTTTTCAGGGGCAAATAATTGCTGTGGTCTCCTTACTTAAAGGCTAAACAGTAGATACAATGCATTTTGTACAGAGCTAGTAGCTGGATTTTTGATAGTGAAGGTTACAGGTTGCACGTGTCCAAATTTTAAAACTGTGGGTTATGCTTGCTCTGTAATGGGGTGGGAACACTAGTGGTGGGACATGCAAAGAGAACACAACATGTTTAAAACTGACTGTTTGAAAAGGATATATAGAACTGTTTGCTTTGCCTTGGTCAGGGTTATAAGCATTAGGGATTGATTAGTTAGAAACTCTGTATGAGAACGGATGGACACGTGAATATAGGCACTGAGGCAACTAAAAACCTCTGTTGCTTGAAAAATTTGTAAGGAAGTTGGCATGTTTTGGACCGTAATAGCGAGCAGATTTTCCAGTGTTTTTAAGGAAGAGCAGACCCATTAGTGCAGATCATGAAAAAGCTTAGGTAATGCTTGTAGATGTGTTCAGAGATACATTTTGACTTTATTTAGCTTTTGAAGTGGCTTTTGCATTTTAATTCTTTTCAGTCTCTCTTTTCTCATGCTAACTAGCTATGCCTGTCTTTGATTTGTGGCAGATTTTGCACTGGATTAGCAAATTTGATCTGCTGCCAGTCTTTTGGAAGCAAGCACTGAGGTGTAAATTATTACTTCCCATTCTTTTTGCCTCTTGGTATGTGTAGGACTTGATCAAGATTTGTCATAAATTTTGTGAAGAGTTCTTTGTTATGATGTGTCTGTTCTTTGTAATTGTCAGAGTGTTTTTGTCACAAAAGAGATCCTTGAATTACTTCCCACTGGAGTTGTTCTTGGTAGGGAAATGGGAGTTACCAGTATTGCTTCAGTAACACCTGTGTTAGCAGCAGGAAGCAGGCCTGAGTGGTATCTACTTGCATGTCCAATGAAGGGTGACAGAGTGCTCAAGATTATCCTTGTGCCCTGTTGAGATAATTCCTTCCTGGAACAAACTTTACCAATTACTTTAATAACATGTTCACAATACAAATTACTTTGTTAAATATCTGATCACATCTTACCATGAGTATGTGTGTCTCCCAGAAGCTTCTGAATTCTTCACCCTTTTAATATTAGCAGATGATTTTCTTTCCAGAGCATGGCAGATGTTGGTTTGGCATATGACTTGGAAGACTGAAAGCTGTATGGAAGAATATCAGAAGCTCTTCTGTGTATTCAGTCTAAATATTCACCAATGTCGTTGTGATCATTCTGTTTACTTTTCAATTCTGTGAATTCAAGTCAGTTTCTGTAAGAAACTTCTCAACAATGCACTCAAGGATCTTTAGCTTTCTCCTTTCTTTATGCTTGTAACCCTTCACATCCAGAACCTATATCTTCCTGCAGAGGGAAGGGTTATACAAGAATTGCACAGATACCATCTTTGGTCTGGATACCGCTCACAACAATATTTTATGTTTCAAAGATAGGAAAACTTGACCCTTACTTATAGAGAGCTGCAGTTTGAACAGGAATGAAACTGAAACTGTTGCTTCTTCTTGTTGGCTTTTCTCTCTCCTTAAGCCTTTGCACCTGTGTTCGGAAGAGCTGCTGTAAGCAGAGGAAGTATTCAGTCCCTGATGTGTGATATTGCTGAGGATGTCATGGGCTGTTTGTGCCAGATCGCAGCTGCTGTGACAGCCATGTGTTCTCACATGTGCCAGCATTTGGAGCTCATTGTGTTTGGTATAGGATGAGTTTGTGTAATTCTAATGTGATCTCATGCCAGTTTGGGTTTCACACCACATTGCTTTCTCTTGAAAGGAAAGTGCATTTTCCTACTGCAGTTTAAGTGTTACTTCTTGAATCTGTCAGATTTGACCAAGTTAGTGAAGAAATTCCATATGGAAACTCCATATACAGGTTTTGGTTTTCCATTTGCTGGCCTGTCAAGGGTTTTGTTAAACCATCATCAATCCCATGGTTCTTGATAAGAACTTGGACCAGTAATCCATTCCTCCAGGTCTCCAGAATGTCTCCAAGAGTACTCAGGGAACTGCTCCCTTTCTTAGTGTGAGCATGATCCATAAGCAATGGGCTGGTTTGATCATGGCCTTATTTAGAGACCATGTGAGCATTGTTAGTCACATACCTGGCTCTGCCCCAGTGTTCCTCAGTCTCAGGTCCAGTACACAGCAAAGTGCCAGAAGGCAGTCAGACACCCTTTCCCCCGTGTCTTCATGACTGGAAATACCTAACCCTGAGCTCTGCTTCCTCTGCAGAGTGGCCAGTTATTGCCTCCTGTGACTTTTTGGGTGTCGATCTTTCGTAAATGCAAAACTCTCTTGCCAGGTAGTGAGGTTTGAACAACTTGTGATGTTTTACAGACAACTTCCAGAATTCTGAAGACTTTTTGGGAAGGCTTTTGTCCCGCAGCTGCTGACCAGCAAGCCTAGCTGGTGTGATAGAATGGGCTACTCGTGTGATTGATTTTCAGATAGGAATGGTGCTATGGCACTAGAGGTACATTTGTAGAGGATTTGGCTTGAATAGATATTGCCACCAATGTTCCTTTTGTACATGGCTTTCATATAAGAGAAACAAAACCAAAGACGTGTTTGATGTCTTCAAAGAGCAAATCAGTTTTGATTTATGTGGACAAGAAAGAAGATTAAGGGGTTTTCAAATTACCGTTCTGAAACCCTGCAGCATTAATTCTTCCTGAAGTATAAGATGAGAAGAATAAAAAAGAAAAAAAGCAGATCTCATGTCCGGAAGGGTAGGTATGGTACAATAGAATATCC